GACTCCCAAACCATGAAAAACTTAACGAATCATAGTGTTACGTCCCCAAAATTTTAGCGACTTAAAATAAGAATTATTGTCAAAATATTGTTAACGACTTACATTATTAATCATAAGTACTCTAATAATAAACTATACCGTACCACGTACCCTTCACGATGACTTACTTTTAATGATAACTTACCTTTAATGATAACTTACTTTCAATGATAACTTACCTTTAATGTTAACTTACCTTCAATGATAACTTACTTCCAATGATAACTACCAATTACCGACAGTTCACATCCTGAAGAACTACGTCATCAACAAGTCGCGAACGTAATTAACAACCAGAATAAAACTTATCTAACAATAAACAACAATTCTCGGAACCTTTATCATTAAACAATTCAAATTACAAAACTTCTTGAGAGATTAACACTTATAATCATTCCTAGAAGTCAGTACCGATAACCCATTTTATCAACAGTCTCTCTAAGAATTATTATCACCCCTCAGATAAGATAACCTTCTAGGAAACGTTTATCACGTAATAATAAACAACTCTTTCAAAACTTCCTTATCTTCTAATTAACAAACCACATCCGAGCCATATTACGACACTCTCAGAACCACTATCGCTTTACACAAGATAAACCATCAATTTATGACTCCCATATGATAACTTCCAACACGTAAGCAATTAACTAAATTTAACTCCCGATATAATATAGATCTTAGGAAATCACCCACGCGTAAATGCACCACATGCGACAGTATATATATAACATAAATCCTAGAGAGACACCCACGCGTGAATACGCCACGTGCGATAGTATAAATAGAATAGACTCTAGAGAGTCACTCTCGCGTGAATGCGCCACATGCGATAGTATAAATAGAATAGACTCTAGAGAGTCACCCATGCGTGAATGCGCCACGCGCGATAGTATAAATAGAATAGATCCTAGAGAATCACCCATGCTTAGACACACTACATGCGATAGTATAAATAGAGTAAGTTATAGAAGATCACCCGGGCGTGAACACGCCACATGCGATAGTATAAATAGAATAAGTCCTAGCGTTAAACAATAAGATATCAAGGGTCACCGATCCGTCACGAGTATTCAGGCGGAAACCATTAAGATAAATTGTGTAACAGATAACCGTGGGGTCGAATAAAGAAACAGCCTGCCCTCGACCCGTTTAGAAATAGAAAACCACTTAGATAAGATAACCCGCGGTTGTCGAGGCGACATGTGCCAACGCGTCACACCATCCTCTTTGTTCGAAAGCCCTGACGATAGTGGGGCAGCGTAGTATATAAAGGGCGACCCAACAGCACGCCCGCAGTTGTTGAAGCAAGTCGTCGTTGTTGAACAGTTGTCAAGCTGTTATTATATTCGCTGACCGCGTCGTAACATATTCTTCAACTCCGCGTCTAACACGCGTCAAATTCCAATTCTTTGTTATTTCATACAGTTAAATCCAAGCTCTACAATTAACTAGTATAATTACATTTAAACTATATAAGCCTATAATACTTAATGTATTCATACTTTAATCATTAGAATTATAGTTATATTATAGTGAAACTGATATTCATTATTTTAAAGATCTTTACCCTAATAAATAAATAATCGCTCGAGTGTAAAACAATTGCCTTAAATCAAACTAAGAAGAAGATTACGTTGGAAGGAAGGAAAGGAAGGAAGGAAGGAAGTCCTCACGATCGTTCCGTTAATACTTCAAATAGTAAGTGGATTAATATCATTATTATACTAACTAATTCAAACACTGATTCCTTAAGAATTGCGGATTATAATAGTCTGGATACTCCAGGGTTGAATTACACCCTGACAGTAAAAGATTATTTAAATCAACAATTTCCTAATTAATTAGAGCACGTGCAATTATTTTGCCCGGACGAATTAGGGTCGAATTACACCCTAATTATCGAGGACAATTTATTTGAACGAGTGCACGTGAACATCACATATGTGTCCACCATATAGTTTACCGCATCGCGAGATACCAATAGTATTAACACCATACACCGCGTGGATAAGTACAGCGACCTGTTGTATGCTCACTTATTACCGTAACACTAGAGACAACAGTCATTACTGCCAGACGTGTTATAATCAGCTTCAATCAATATCTCACGATTCCTATAAGCTCGTAACGTTACATTATCTGTATATCGGTTACGAAACCTTTGCTTATTCTTGTTCTAATTGTAACGTTAGATTCAGGGCTGGATATTTTTGCATTTAAAATGCCATTTAAGATGTAATTCTATTTAAAATGTTGAATGTAAAATACTTAAAAAAATGTATATTAAAATGTGTATGTAGGGAAAAAAACCATTCTGTATTTGAAAACTATTCAAAATATCTATTTACCCATTTTACATATAAAGTGGATTCGAAAAACATTTTACATTTTAAATACATTTTTTATATTATATTTGGCATTTTAAATGATTACCCAGCCCTGGTTAGATTATTATCTGCCGAATTCCCTGAACTCTGTCTCGCATGTGTGGATCGCAGGGACCGATTTGAACGACAATTACTTAATACTTACGAGATTCTTTCTAACGAATACGATCCTGTCATACTTCCTATAAACGAGATACACAGTGAAACTTTAATATAACTCATGTGTCATCCTCGCTCACTACACTCTAACTCCTCTCCTAAAGAAATACCTTATCAACGGTGGCTCGAGACTGCCGTGTGTTCCAAAGCATCATTTTATATGAACCGAAAAAACGACGCTATTACCTGTAGAGGTTGCTATTCCTGTAAATCTTCGTACGACCGAAGTTTCTACGACTATATTACTCGCCACTATATTCACATAGTACCCCCAGCGGCATTCGAAGAGTGCCGCCATTTCCATATCATACTACCACAAATACATACGACTCAATCTTGTCCAATTTGTCCTTTAGTCCTACAGGATTTTACAGAATATTTAGTTCATTCTCGAGATACACCGTATGCTAGTTTTGAAAATTCTATTCTTTGGATAGAATAAATTCGAGTCTCGGGCAGACTAAACGATTAAAATAACATCATCTCGGTATCCCCCAATAGCTACCGTGTCCCCCCTTTTAAGATATCGTGCCATCTTTAATTTTAAAATCGCGGGACCGCGGGACGCGACAATAGTCACCGAACCTTGCCCAACTCGCCCCTACAGCCATAAATCCGAACCGGACCCTTAATCCATCTCGACCATTCAGCAACCAGTATCTTAAACCTTCAAATCGACGACTCAAAAACACGCGCGCGCATTCCACCTGCCATCAGCTTACCCATGCAAAGCCAAGCCATCTTCTTACGCCCCTAAAATCTTAAGGACAGTTCACATATCCCCATTCGTAATCCTCAAATCAACTAATCAATCACTGATCCCCACTCGCCAAGTAATCCCCCTTCAACATCCACTAAAACAAAGCATAAATCCACCCTTGTATCAAATCAACCAATCAGAGAACAGTCTAATCCATAGATATACATATATACAATAGTGAATCCTACGGTTATTGCTTTTGAACCCTCTTTTGACAGTTCATAACGATTACTCGTGTCCCTCAGAATACCCTTAAGCCTTGAATGAAACCTTCAGCCTCATTCACATGTCTCCATAAATCTACACTAACTAAGGCCCGTATTCATAGTCAGACCTTGTACTTAAGGCTTCCTTAAATATAAGGCCTGACTATGAATACGGGCATAACTCTACTTAAATTGTAACAACCTAACTTTATGAGCGGACGTAGCTCGTCGGAAACGTGCGGTCCAGGGCTTAAAGAGGTTCGAGCAGGAGAGGCAAGATGCAGTTACGCGGGCGATTGAATTGAATGAGTACAGGCGCGGTAAAAGTGAACAAAATCTTTATTATGACGAGAACAACATGCACTATTTACATATGACAGAATACGCAATTATATACATAAGCCAGATAATGTGCGGACGATAATTTGATTCGGAATGCGGTCGCGGATTCGGATGTACCCCGTAACGCGTGCGTAGCACGCGACGGGTCGCTCGGTATTCGTTGGTCGCGGTACGCGGAAGCGCGCCAGCCAATCCGGTGAGCGCGGCGCGAACGCAGTACGCGGCGCGGTGATTTATGAAGCGTGGCTTTCCCCGATGCAATGGGGAAGCGCGGGGCCGTCGACCCCAAGAACACTTGGGAGGGTGGAGAACACTTCACCCTTAGCTCGTGTCGAGGCCCCCTGTTTTATGCGGCGATCGGTATTGACGGAGCGTGGAGTCGGGAGTGACACTGGGTGTCGTTGTCGGGAACGCCCGACGGTGACCGAGAACGATCCCTCGACCACCTGTTCTCACGATCACTAGTGTCTGGAGTGGAATCGGTGGAAGTAGCGGATATCGTATCGGTACCGAGAACACTCGGCAGTGGCTGAGAACGAATCCCTCGACCACTCTGGTTGTCGATACTCAGGTCAGACGGCTTTACGTGGCGCAGTCGAGAACGCTCGACGGTGACCGGGTACTATCTCCCGACCGCTCTTGTGCTTGGAAATTTGCCTGGAAGGATTCTCTAGGATTCGGTTTCGGAGTATAGCTCGGAGAAGCGAAAAAGGCGACTAGTCCGTTCGTCGCCTCGTCTTTTATACTAACTATTGCTCCCGCTCGTATTGTTCCGGAGTAACTCGGCGCTTTCCGTTAGCGAACAATACGAGGGGGAGTTGACGCGGTTCGGCTCGGTTCGCGCCTGTTCGTCTGTTTTCGGCGAAGCGGCGGTTTTCCGTGCGTTGCCTCGCGATGTTTCGCGGGTCACGGATTGCCGGTGGTACCTGTGGATTGTCTTTTGGTTTCTTAAAAAATAATGTGGGCGCACCTCGCCCTCCTCGCTGCTGCCCCTGATAGCGGGGTGCAGCGGCATCCGATGGAAGACCGATCGGGAACGATGCGTTTACGGGTGCATCGTTACATCTCCCCCCTCCTTTATTATGCCTGAATTTGAGGCATATTTTACTTTCGCTTCACGGACCTCACAGTTCCGTTTCCGTTGAAGCGGATATGCCACTTCGTGCCTCCTGAGCGCGTCTTGTATTGTCGAGACACGTGCGCGGAGAAATGTGGTACGTTGACCACGTGTCCCGGCTCTACCTCGACAGGTATGGGTGGCGGCGGTAATGGTCCCACGGCTCTGGCTGTTGCTGTCTCCGAGCGTGGCTGGGCGACCCTCGGAGGACCCACTGCTCTCCGCGTAGGTGGTGGTGGCGGTGGCGTGGCGGTGAGCCAAGCGAGTTTCTCCCGTCGCTGTCGGTCGGAGGCTTGGATGACGCATCCGATGACTGGCGGGTTTTTACGGGCCGGTGTTGCGTTGAGCCCGTTGTCTGGCGGTGGCTGCGGTGGTGGCCATGGCTGCCCCGCGTGAGCGGTGCACCAATCCGGGTCCATGGCCGGGTTGGCCGGATCGTATTCTTCCCCGATGAAGTCGTCGAGCGCTTTGAGTATGTCGTCTCGCTCCATGCTTTGGCGACAATGTGATTTCGCTTAGCTCGATTTTCCGGTAACGGCCTGTCTGACGGGAATGTGGGGGGTACCGGATTTGTTTATTCGTCCTCGGAGCTGTTGTCGTCGCGGTTATTAGCCTCGTCGGCGGGGGCAGGGGTCGGGGCGGGCTTTAAATCCTGGATGTGTATGTGTCGGTACTACCGACCGCTACGATCGCCCAAATCGAATATTACCGGTGATGTCACGCGTCGTACCTCGAGTGGCCCTTTAAATCTCGGAGCTAATTTCGCATTAAATGCCGCGGCTTTATTTGACAGCACGTGCTCTCGTTTGTATACGCTGTCTCCTACTTTCGGCTTCCAGGGCCTGCGTCGCAGGTCGTAATATTTTTGCTGTCTTTGGAAAGCCTGCGCGAGATTCATTTTCACGAGTTCGTAGGCCTCCTCGAAATGACGGCGCGTGGTATCGGGTGGCGAAGCGGGCGTGTTGCGCGCGTTTGTATTTGCGGGTAATGTCAGGTCGCGGCCGAGATTCAGATATGCTGGCGTGTAGCCCGTGGCGTCGTGTCGCGCCGAATTGAAGGCGAATTGTAATTCGGATAGATGTTCGTCCCAATTGCGGTGGTTGCGCTCGGTGTACTGGGCGATCATTGTTTTGACGGTGCGATTCGTGCGTTCGACCGGATTACAGTGCGGTGCGTAGGCTGGCGCGTACGTATGCCGCGAGCAGCTTGTTGAACTGCGTGGATTTGAACTGCGTCCCGTTGTCGGATATCATGATTTCGGGGCAGCCGTGCCGCAGGATGATCCTCTCGGCGAGGGCCTGCGTGACGGCGGGAGCGGTAGCCTTGCGGAGGGCGTATAGTTCTACCCATTTCGAGAATCGGTCTTGCATCGCTAGTAGCCATGTATTCCCTTTCTTGGACCGCGGTAGGGGGCCAACCAGGTCTACGGTCACGTGCTGCCACGGGCGATTCGTTGCAGTCGCGTGGAGCATGCCGGCGGGTTTGGCTTGCAGTACCTTGTGTCGTAGGCAATTTTGGCAGTTGCGTACGTAGCGCGTAATGTCCCGTGCCATTCCCGGCCAATAGTACACGCGGGTGATGCGGGCGATGGTTTTTGCAATGCCCAGGTGCCCTGCGGTCACTTCGTCGTGATTTCTCCGCATTATGTTGTCCCGATGTTCTTTGGGTACGCATTCCTTCCATTGTTGTTCGGCGGGGGTTTCGGTAAAATCGAGATCGTGTAATACGTATCGGTACACGATTCCGTCCCTTATCTCGTAATCGGGTAGCCGGCGGGGCTCTTTCTGGATACTGGTGACGAGTCTGCGATACCAGGGGCAGCGTGGGGGCACTAACGTGGCGGCGGCGACCGGTTGACGTGATAGGGCGTCGGCCACGCGGTTCAAGGTGCCCCTCCGGTATTGTACGTCAAAACTAAATTGTTGGAGCTCGAATGCCCAGCGTCCGAGGCGCCCGGTGGGGGACTCTAATTTTTGCAGCCACTTAAGTGATTGGTGGTCGGTAATAACAGTGAAGTTATAGCCTTCGAGATAGTCCCGCATCCGTCGTATGCCCCAGACGACTGCCAGGCATTCGAGTTCAGTCGCACTGTAATTCCGTTCGGCCGGATTTAGGGTGCGGCTAGCATATGCGACCACCCGCTCGCCTTCCGCGAAGTTTTGCGTTAAAACGGCCCCTAGCCCGGTGTTACTGGCGTCGGTTTGTAGAAAAAACCGCCTGGTGAAATCCGGGCATGCTAAGACGGGCGCGGTGGTTAGCGTGTGTTTCAGTTGTTGAAACGCGTCGTTTTCGGCCGGTCTCCAGGTCCATCGGGCGTGTTTCCGTGTCAGCGCGGTGAGCGGAGCGGCGACGGTCGCGAAGTCCCGTATAAACCGCCGGTACCAGGACGCCAAACCTAGAAATTGCCGTACTTGTTTTATTGTTTTTGGGGCCGGCCAGTCTACGACGGACTTAACTTTTTCGGGGTCGGTTCGGATACCCTTGTGGTCGATAATGTGCCCCAGGTATTTCAGGCGATCGACGCAAAAGTGGCATTTCTCGGGGTTGATTCGCAATTTTGCCTCACGGAGGCGTCTAAAAACATCGCGTAAGGTCGCGATATGGTCATCAAACGTGTGGTTTACGATGATGATATCGTCTAGATATACGAAGACGTGTGGTTCGAGTTCCGGCCCGAGTACGGTGTCGAGCAAACGCTGGAATGTGGCCGGTGCCGAATGCAAACCGAACGGCATGACGGTGAATTGAAATAGCCCCTTCCTGGGGACGGTAAACGCGGTGACGGGCTTGCTGTCTGGTGATAGCGGGATCTGCCAGTAGCCATTCCGGAGGTCAAGCGTTGACAGGTATCGGGCCCCCCGCAACTTGTCCAGGGTGGCGGTAATCTGGGGCAGCGGATAGGCGTCGGGCTCGGTGACCTCGTTGACTCGCCGGAAGTCGATGCAAAAACGGTTTTTGCCGTTTTTCTTCTTCACCACGACGACCGGCGAGCTCCACGGGCTGGTGGCCGGCTCGATTATACCTTCTCGAGCCATCTCGCGGACTTCCCCGTCGATGACCGCCTGCATGGCCGGGTTGCGGGGCCGGTAGCGCTGTTTTATCGGATGGGGGTCCGGTTTTACGCGTATCTGGTGTTGCGCGAGATGCGTGGATCCCCGGACCGCTTCGAATTTCTTTACCTCGGTATCTAGAAAGTTTCGCAGGGCGCGATTCTCGGCCTCCGTGTTCTGGGTGAGACCCTCGGTCGCGGCGGTGGCCGGTTTCGGGCTTACCTTGGTGATAGCGGGTGGGGCGGGGATCGTGTAATCGAATCGGGCCCATAGGTCCATCCCGATTAATATCTGGCTTCGGAGGGTGGGCATAACGCGAAATGTGTGCTGGACGTGGCGGTTCCCGATGCGTATGGGTAGCTCTACCATCCCGGGCAACGTGATGGTCTGGCCATCCGCGAGCTGCACCTTCCCCCCTTCGGATTGTACCACGCAGCCCATGCTTTCGATGGCGTGTTGCGTGTCGGCGTTAATGAATGATACTTCGGACCCGGTATCGATCAGGGCGTCGAAGCACGCGGTCCGGAAGCGTGCCTTGACGTGCGGCCGGGGCGTGAATTTTATTCGGGGGACTGGTGGGCGGCCGAGGTTTCCCCAGTCCGTTTTTCGTTTCCCGGCGGAGGATGGCAGTCTTTTGTCATGACCCCGTCCTTGCCACACTGCGAGCAAAATTTCCTCGGCAAGCGTTTACAGTCGAAACGGGTATGCCCGCGCTGATTGCAGCGCCAACAGCACTCGGCGCGGTTATACGGGGCGGTCGCGGCGGCGGCTTCGCGGGTCGTGTCTTTCTCCTTGCGTTCCGCTTGCTCGAGGGCGAACAGACGTTCGCAATTCGCGGCTTCTCGGCACAGTTCTTGTACTGAGTGGACATCGGTACGTCGTATGCGCCACTGGTACGAGAAGTGCATGTTTCGATACAGATATTCGAGCTGGCGGTGGTCGGCGGTGATGTTGGCGCGGTGCATTAGCGCTATGAGTGCCGTGGAGTATTTAAAAAAAATTTCCCCCGGTTTCTGTTTACGCGCATGGACGTTTTCGAGGATCTGGAATTCGTCGGCGTGTGGAAGGAATGCGGCCTTAAAACTGTCCGTAAAGTCGTGCCAAGTCTCCCATCGTTTCCGGTTCACGCGTCCCCAGGTTTGAGCGTCCCCTTTTAGTAATACCGGGAGCCCCTTGAAGAACTGTTGGTCGGTTAGTTCGTAGTCGTCTTTGAGTTCCTCTACGCGTTCTAAGAAGGACCAAGGGTCTTTCCCTTCGAATTGGAAGCCCCTTCTTCCGCATGGAAGGGATCCGGGTCCGAGTGACGCACTTGCGCATCTGATTGATTACTTTCGTAGGGCGTTCGTCGGACGGGCCCGGGTCGGCGTGATTCGTGAAGGGGTTGCCCTGGGCTTGGCCCGATATCCCTGATGCTCGGTGTTCGGTATTTCGTCGCGGTGCTGGTGGGGTCCGGTTATCCGGCAAGGCTCGCGCTTGGAATTCCCCCGGGTTTGCATCGATGAATCCGCTTAGCCGGCGACGCAGTTCGTCGACTGTGCCGTCAGTATCCATCCCGTGAATTTCGAGTTCGGCTATCAAGTCGGGTTTGCTGAGCGCGTACAGCCAACTTTTCGGAACGGGCTGCATCTCTCCTTTCCGGGCAGGTCCCTGTTCGGGCGCCATGTAACAACCTAACTTTATGCGCGGACGTAGCTCGTCGGAAACGTGCGGTCCAGGGCTTAAAGAGGTTCGAGCAGGAGAGGCAAGATGCAGTTACGCGGGCGATTGAATTGAATGAGTACAAGCGCGGTAAAAGTGAACAATAATCTTTATTATGACGAGAACAACATGCACTATTTACATATGACAGAATACGCAATTATATACATAAGCCAGATAATGTGCGGACGATAATTTGATTCGGAATGCGGTCGCGGATTCGGATGTACCTCGTAACGCGAGCGTAGCACTCGACGGGTCGCTCGTGATTCGTTGGTCGCGGTACGCGGCAGCGCGCCAGCCAATCCGGTGAGCGCGGCGCGAACGCAGTACGCGGCGCGGTGATTTATGAAGCGTGGCTTTCCCCGATGCAATGGGGAAGCGCGGGGCCGTCGACCCCAAGAACACTTGGGAGGGTGGAGAACACTTCACCCTTAGCTCGTGTCGAGGCCCCCTGTTTTATGCGGCGATCGGTATTGACGGAGCGTGGAGTCGGGAGTGACACTGGGTGTCGTTGTCGGGAACGCCCGACGGTGACCGAGAACGATCCCTCGACCACCTTTTCTCACAATCACTAGTGTCTGGAGTGGAATCGGTGGAAGTAGCGGATATCGTATCGGTACCGAGAACACTCGGCAGTGGCTGAGAACGAATCCCTCGACCACTCTGGTTGTCGATACTCAGGTCAGGCGGCTTTTCGTGGCGCAGTCGAGAACGCTCGACGGTGACCGGGTACTATCTCC